TTTACCGATATTATTATTTTGTTATTTTCGTGTATACTGTACCTACTCTTTTGAAAAGTGTATGTGAGGAAAAATAAAACCTGTAACTGTGTATACTGTGATTTGAATTGTGAAAGTCATTGAACCTAACGATGTATGATTATGAATATAATGGTTAAACTTCAACCCGTTTCCTTCGGAGTTCAATAAATGCGTACACGAAACTACACAACATAATTGTATTCAATAAATGAGTATGTGAGAAAGTATGAATACGAATTCGGAAAGGGTTTTCGTACGTAATAAATAAATCTAAAATGCAATTTTTTTCCCCCCTCAAACGGCTCCCGTGGAAAAAGAATGCACTGCACGAGTAGGTGAATTCCCGTTTGGGAATTCACCTTTTTGTGAAACGTGAGCCGTTTAGGAAAAACCGGAGTCGAATGGGCTACGTCCGTTTTCGACTAGAGGTCGCGACACGCGCCGCACTGCAGGTCCGACGAGAGGGACGGGCGGCCGGCACTGTAGCCCCAGTGTCTCAAAGAAGGCCCGGGGCCGACCAAAGCGACCGGATCCTGTGCATTTGATCCGATTTTTACATTAGTATAAAAATTATTACAATATTTTAATAAAAATCGATAAATATAACGTTGCTAGTCGTCATACGGTTCAGACAATATAATAATTACTTTGTACCGTATATCATATGACGCGTGTTCGTTAAAATACGATTGTTGCTTTTGAACACCTTATACGTCGACCTTAAGCCTTCTTTTTGTTCTGCGCGTTTTGAAGGCCGACACTTGGCGTTAGCGGTAATTATTCAATATTTGACAACATCGGGACGGATTAGTTTGCCCCCGGGGCCCTTGTTTCCATGCCGTACAGCGAGTTCGCGTTCGGCACCAGGGACGACGAAATATTGTGCCGTCAGTTTCAACGTTATAGTTTTTTAACGGACCCACAATCCAACTTGTAAAGACGAGGACGTCGGGGCGCTGTTTTTACGCTGTTTTATCTGAATTTCCGAACGAGACGCGAGCGTTATCGAATCGTAATGTCCCGCGTACAATGTCGTCCAATATCGCGTCCGTCTCGCGCTCATATAGACAATTGAAGTTCGGCGATTCGGACGATGCGCTCCGGTCGGTGGCGCCGAACCGCGTTCGGATAAAATGCGGGCGGGTGAAAAGTCGCGCGGACCAGCGGCCTCGTCGACGCGGGACTCGTGAATTCCCGTACAACGGGCGCCCGCCCGTCGGTCCGCCAACGCCCGTCCGTCGAGAGGACGCGGTCGCGGCGCCGCCGGCTCCGGCACTGAAACAGCCGCGTCGCCGTACCCGACGCCCCGCGCGCCGTCACGAATGACGGAGCCGCGACGCGGGCGGGCGGAAACGCCGAAATCCCCAGGACGGCACGGCGGCGTTACGCGAAGCCGATCGCCCGCGCGCGAAATTCGAAATCGATCCGCGGCGCCGCCGCCCGGGACGAACGCGTCTCAACGGCAATTACGATATCTCGCGGGAAACGAGTTCGGTTCGCGCCGTCGTCAAACCGTAACGCGTCTGCGCGTATTGCGTCGCACGCGCACGCGTTACAATAACACGGCGGCGGAATCGCGAACCCCGCTACGGTTTCTGCGTGCAAATATTTTTGACAAAAAAAAAAAAACCAACGACCGATGACTACGTCTCTGCGGCCCGATCGTTACGCGCGCTGTTGGTTTCGAACGTATCCGATGCGTGTGTGTGTACGCCGGGCCGGGCCGGGTCGGCCGTTACCGGGAACACCGCGCCCGGCGCGTAATTGCGGCGTCGCGTCCGACACGCAGTGGCACGGCCGCAGTGGGTATGCGACGCGCGTAGTTCGGCCGCGAGTACGGTGCTACGACGTCGGGCGCGTTTCACGCGTGTACAGTTCGCGACGTCGTAAATGCGTACGGACGGACCGGACGTCCGCGATCGCGGACCCGTAATAACGATAACAATAACGCCGCGCGCACGTAGGATTTCCGCGAAATTCACGGGGTGAAACGATGATAGAAAAAAAAAAAACAAAAAAAACCGTCCGCCACGTACTCCGGTGTGCGCGCGAGTGTATTGCTCACGCGCGAACCGTCGTGGCTGCGTTCGAAAACTCGGAGTGGAGTAGAGTAGAACGCCCCGCGTGTGATCCACGACTACGCTCGGGTCGCCCCTAATCTTCGCGGTTTAAAATAAGGTCAACATTGACAATAAATGATAAGAATTGTCGATAATTTTCCATCGCGTGCTGTACACTATAGTACATCGTCCAACTTCATTTTAACTTCGGCCTTGTGTATGGCCGGTATTTCAAATGTTAATAAATAACGTTAAAAAACGTGTAAAATGGAATTATTTTTTTTTTAATCACCCGATTTTGAGTAATTATAAAGATCGCCGTCGACGAAAAATCTACGGTTATTTCCTTTAAACTGTAATAATCATTGTATCGTGGTTTTTGTAGTGAATACAACAGAAATATTGTAAAAATCTTCCGTTGTATAGAACAAGTAATCGCGAAGAAAACACAAAACTAAAAAGAGAAAAAAAAAAAAACGGACAACAATAACGGTACCGTCTTTTTGTCGGTTACAATAATTAATAACCGCGGAGATCTGTGGAAGTGTCTGAACACATTATCTGGGCGCGGTCCGTAACGTTCCGGTCGTTTCCCGGCTGTAGTTTATAGACATTTGACATTTTCGGAGTCCTTTTTGGGCATTTATTCGGGGTGAAATTGTGTCGGTCGCGCGGAAACGTTCGGAAATACGACACGGCGTGTATATCATTACATTCGTTACCACGCGCGATCACGACAATTGTCATTGGGCGAGGACACGGACGGCCGTCCCCGTGTCCGTGCGGGTTTTCGGAAAAACTTTCTCACGCGTCACACACAAAAATAATAACACGACGGCGATCGCGCGCGCAAAACACGTATGCTGTTATTATTATTATGATTATCGTTATTATGATTATTATCCGGACGACCAGGATGTGCGAGCCGCGTACAGATCCGGACCAGTTTCCCGTTCTCTTTGCCGCAAAAGTCGGCCAAGCGACGCCCACGAGCCCGCGAGAACCGGAGAAACGGGGCGGTAGGAGGGGACGTGAAAATAAAATACCGGCGCCGCACGTGACCGCCGTTAAAGACGGCCGCCCGACGGCCCGCGGAGCGCCGGCGAAAAATATTCTAAACGTGCGCCGGTACGGAAATAAAAACTAAAGAAAAACGAGGTTACGTGAGGCACGCGAGCAGCGCGAACGCCGCCGCTGCGCCGTTCGGAGAGTTCGTTTTAAAAAGGGATTCGGTCCTTTGAAAAAACGAACTCGTTCCTTTGAGCGTTCCTTTTAGATTCTGAGTGGAACGAAGAGGCTTACGGTTTTACAAAAATGTTTATTATTTTATTTTATTATTTTTTTTTTTTTTTATCCGAGCGCAACTTCCTACCAGAAAACTTACTCAGATTTCTACGCGTAACACTTTTTCTGAAAGGAAAGCGATATAAAGAGGTACATTAAGATGGTGATTTTTCGATTTTCTCAAGAGTTTTCTCGTCAAATTCGTAAAACCGAAAAAAAAAACGGGAAAATGTACGAAATTTATTAGTGAAATATTACGATTTAATTTATCTGTGGACGACTTTTCTACCAGCAATTTCGCTCCAACCATTTAATGATAGCAATGTTTTTAAAAGGAAATTTCACTTCGGAGGTACTTTAGAGTGGTCGCTTTTTCCATTTTCTCCGGAGTTTTCTCAACAAATGTGTAAAATCGGAAAAATCTAAGGAAAAATGTACAAAATATATTGTTTGTCGAACAGTGTAGGACAGTGTGTTTTTGATCCTAATGTGATATGGACACAACAACGACCGTACAAATCGTCGACCAAATGCTGAAAACGATATCACCGTTAGCGAACCGTTCGTAAGCCGTTTGATTGGAAAATGACGACTGTCGCCGTCACCGACGGATTACGGCGTGTTCGAAGAAACCGAAAGAAAGTGCATCGGAGTGCGATGAAAAATAACCGCGTGAGTTTTTGTACTCCTTTATTGCAATACTATTTTCGTACGCCGTTGTACACAACGGCCGCAGTGTTGCTGAATACGATTTTCATAAGCATGTACGCGTTATCGGTAATGTGTGTAACACGTCGTTTTATTAAATAACTATTAGTTCTATACAATTCCTAAATATGCTCGTTAATATATGAATTACACAGGTTTTACTAGTTAGTATTAATCGATTGGGTTTTGCTAATTTATATAATTTAAGCCATCGTGTACCAATAAATACAAATTGTATAATAACATAGGACTTAATATTACCATTTTTTTTATTTTTTTTTTTAATTATTTAATAACTCTTTAACGAATTGACGCGGTACAAATAGGAATAATTTTTTTCAAAGTGAATATTAATTTTTTATGCATAGATGTAATAATAATTTTACATACATTAAATAAATCGTTATGGTTCGTTTATAAAATATCTACTTAGCATGTAGAATAACTAGTTGAGGTACACATTATTTTTATATTCATTCAATACATTAATTGAAAGTGCCCTAAAATCTGTAAAATTACTAGTTTTTTTTTTATAGAATTACGGAAATCCATACATTAACGCTGACATATAAGTTTGAAATTGCATTATTGTAGTTTTTGAATTAATAATTACAAAAAAACTGAGAGAACCAGCCGATATTAAACTCGTTCGGGTTCTCAGTACCAGATAAACGGATGGCACTGAACACAACGCAAGTATACCAGAAACATAATTTACTACTGTACACCTGTTTTTTAATATTTTTTTTTACGGTAAACAATTCGTTTGTTGAGATTAACGCTGCTGCTTTCGGTGGCTATCGCTGCCGCTGTTGATTTTGATTTTGATTTTCCTCTTGCCGAGTCGCTGATAAGGGCTAATTAGCCTTCGCCTTCCCCAACTCTTGCGCCAGTATTTCAAGTCGCTTGGCGGCCTTCTGAATTACCATGCTGACGCCTTTACCGTTGGCTTTGGCGACAACTTCGGTGATCCTGGCAACGCAAACCCGGACCGCCCGTCGTTCTCGCATCGGCGGGGCGGCAACCGCGGCCAAACTGCTGGAACGTCTCAGGCAGACAATTATAGAACGGCATGTCGGGTTACCGGGCGCGTCCCCAGGTTGCGGATCGGGGAACGTTCCTCGTAGAGAGGGCAACTGCGATATAAATCAGTACGGAACTGGTCGACTAAGCAGTCGTGGACAATACACAAATCTGGGCAGGACGGGCTCTTCAGCCTTGGCCGGCAACCGTTCTAGGGGAAGGAAAGCCACGAACAAAACCCCCTGGCAGTAAGGTCAAAAAGCAATGGAGAGATACCATTTTAAAAACTCTTTATGGACGACGACATCAGAATTATTGAAGTTACCACAGCAGGGAGTTCGGAGACCCAGCTGTCGGCAGTCGGGAGTGCGCAATTAGGCTCCCGGCGGTCGTCATCATGCAACTGCAGAGATGCTGTGGAGGCTGCCAGCCTGACCTTCACATCTTTAAAAGCTAAAGCTGATGAAGAGTCGGTGGCTATTGATAACAATGATAACGATTCTACCGTTAGTGAACCATCGATAGCAGACGTATGCCGTTTGATTGGAAAAAAAATTAAATAGTAATACGTTTGTTCACATACATAGATGTAGCCCTATAGCATCACCATTGTATGCACACATCACAATGATCGCAATATGAATATGAATATGATGCGCCCATAATAATACGCATTTCGAGTGACGATGATGATGGTGACGAATTGATGGAGTTCAACCCACTGACTTGTGCTTTTTTTTTTCTTTGCAAAATACCTTTGTTACTTTTTGCCTATTCGTTGAAATTAATAAACGATAAAACTTCACGAATGTGTTTCTTTATTCTACAACTTTATATCTACAACTGTTTCAAATAATCGACACGTATTATATTGTCTTTGAGAGTTGATGATATTCTTTTAAACAATGGAAATTTACAAAAATAATTCTTTTATTATTTTCAATTTTGTTTTTTGAATGCAATTTAGTTCAATATATTCAAAAAGATTAGAAATTTTAACAGAAAACCTGTATTTACTTTTTCTAGACGTAGTCAAATTTTAAAATTGTTTAACCAAATATAGACATTTTAATTTTGTGGGTTTTTTACATAATTTTTGTTCGGTAGGTATTCTGTAGATAAAATGGTTAGACTTAACAGTAATGCTTGACAATTGAACAGGAGTTCAATGGTTTATCGTTGGTTACATGTAGAAATTAAATAACTTTATGTATCCCACCTTTCCAACTACCCACTTTTTAATAATATTATAATGCATATTATCTTATATATATTCAAGGGAAAAAGGGGTTGATCTCTAACTTTTGGGGTAAGATACAAAATGTAAATAATCGAAAACCGCGTAGCGAATAGCGAGCCCAGAGCTCAGAGATGCTGTGCTGTGTGAGGCAGAAACTCCGCCGACGTCCATCAGTTGAAGGAGTTGGGGAAATAATTATTGTAGACCGTTAAGTTTAACGAAAATTAACGACTTTATTACGTATACTGAAAAAAAAAAGTAACAACAATAACAACTATATGTACAATTACGATCTAAGAGCGGTCAGAGGTTCGTCCGCGTGGGCTGAACGTCGACATATTATTATATGAGGCAGAAGTCACGATCTAAGTCTGTTTGTATACACACACGGATCTTGTGAGGGTCCGAGGCTACGTGCTCCCAGAAGGTTGTGAATATGGAAAGAGGAAAAAAAACACGATAAGCAATAAGGAAAGATCGCGTTACACGTGTCGAGGATAAACGAACCGTTCTGTATATATATAGAGTGAACTCGAATTGGTTACCATTTATATCTGTAATGTTATCCACTACTAGTCGAATTGGTTATAGGACTGTCAACTTAGAAGTATCTGTTGTAGGCGAGAAGTCGGAAAGGCACGGGATATAAAGGGGAATTTAATGTATACCTGTACCTACGCGACGATATTAATCTTCGCTAACGAAAATCGACGATTTTGAACGGAGTTCGATTGTGTAGGTCAATAATATGTTTTGAAAGGCCGTATTTATTAATTTCGTATATTTTCCCGTTTTTCCCGTTTATTATGAAAACCCCTGGAAAAATCGAAAATTGACCTCAGTTATAGGCTCCCGTTGCCGCCGGTTTGAAGAAACGCTGAATCTACAGGGTGATCAATATCTATCTATACAAGACAGTAAGACACTCGTTATCTCGGAAAGTATTAACTTTTCGACATTTGTTTTGTAGAGAGCAGCACTGAAATTTTACATTTATGTTATTTTTCGTCGACCTAATTTTCGAGGGTGAAAGTACCATCTACTGGTGGTACGTTCTCAAAACGCCGCCGCGCAAGTGATAGTTAATCCGCTTGAAAGCGAAATGTCTCTTAAACGGATATTACGAATATAAACGCCGCAATGCATGTTGAATCCGAAACTACTCAATCCGTCTGTTTATGGAATTTTCACGGAATACGGGTCGCCGTTTGAAAACCGGGGCGACGAAAAGTCGCGTAAACGTTAAATCGCGGACCAGCTCGTTGCTGGAATGTTCACCGAAACGAATTTCGAAAAGAACCCGGCGCTTTGCGGGACAATTACGCGCGCCCTACGATAAATCGATCGGCCCGTACGCGCAGCGGAACACTCGATTCCGGGCGGACGGCACCGGGGACGCGCGCGCCGCCGCGGATTGTAACGCCGAAAGAGAACGACGGACGCGACGCAACGATACGCGGGCGTGTGCGAGCGGCCCACGCCCGCCCGTATTTACACCGACAGCGTTGTCCGCCGAACGCGTTTACCGTTATTATCGTATTGTGCCCGCGCGTTATCTCGTGACAATGTTATCGTATCGGACCGTACAATATTATCGCGTCGCGGTACGCGCGGGGGGTGGTGACTGTTACGCGCCTCGTACGAGCGTACGGGCGAGTTCCGAGCTCCGGTCTAGACGGCGGAGGAAGAGAAAAAAAAAAAAAAAAATGTTACCCGACCCATTTATCGGGTTTTTCGATTTTTACGAGCGGCACTGCCGTGTGCGATACGTGTGTCGCAGGCGTTATACCATACAGGTAGGTAACCCCCCTCCCACCACACATACACACACACACACCCATTACAATAACGTGACGACGTCTGTACGAGCGAGACACCTGTTTTTTCATTTTTTTTTTTTTCTCTTTCTTTTTTGTTTTCCGTTCGCCGGACGTACCGACGGGTTTCGCGCGTTACACGACGGCGGTACGAGCGTACAATGCGCCGTCGTCGTCGGCGGCGGTTGGCGGGGTAGTAGAGAGGGGGCGGGCGGTCGCGAGGGCACTGGGGTAACGTACCTATACAACAATAACAATAATAATAATGATAATAATGATAATAATAATAATGATAATATAGGTCACTCGGACCGCGTCGGCGCCAAAGGACTGGTGACCCGGTGCCCGCCGAAAAACAACGCGAACAATTCGGCGGCGGAGCGCAACAGTCGCCGCCGGCACCGGGGGCGACGACTCCCGCGCGGTCGGACCCTTCGCCGCCGTCCCATTTTACGATCGGCCCGCGTTTCCCGCCCCGCAATCGCGTTATGCGTTTCTCGCACACCCGTCCCCCCCCTCCCATCTCGCCCACCGACGGGCGATCGCGGTACGATACGCGCGGTACTCGCGAAACGCTCGTAAATTAAAAGACGGCCACGGGCGGGCACGCGGAGAGCTCGATTCTGGCGGAGGGGGGCGAAAGTGCGAACGCGGCGCCGAAAGAATAGTAAACGAAAATTATAAAGACCCCGTGAACAGGGTCGCCGCGCCTCTCCGGGTCGCGGGCAGCCGAGTGCAGTGGGGCACTGGGGCTTCAGCCACCAGTGGGCTTGATGAGACGGAGCTCGGCCCCCCCCCACGGTTCTCGTATTAAAAAAAAGACGGACTTACTTCGCGCATGGGTGGGCCACTGTTGTTGGGCGAAAAGTTCGGAAGATAGAGGCGTATATATGTATCTGTACGCAACGGTTAACCGTTGCTAAAGAAATACGATTCTGAGCGGAGTTCGATTAATTATGTTGGTTTGTCGGCAATATGCGTTGTGTCACATTACGGTAAAATTATTGCGTATCCCATTATATATTTTCATTAGCAACATTTTTTTAACAACGCCTACATTTCGCACATTTTAAATCGCCTATGGAATTGACAACACGTGATCTCGTATGTACCGATAACTTCCTGTGATTTGGAACGTTCATTTAGTTGATTTATGTTGGTTTTAAGACCAAATTTTCGTAACTTTATTTTCGAAAAATCATACATAAACACAATACGGTTTGCAATACTTTAGATAGATTTTTTTTTTGATTACATATTTTTATTTTTTACTACATATTTTGGTCATTTTAATTACATATATATGTACATATTATTGTTGTTGTTTTTTTTAATTGCATATAAATCCCAGCCCTAGTTATAGCATACAAAACAACATATGACTATATTTGAATAATTGTTTAACGAACAGTTTAAGGAAAATAAAATTAGGAAATGTACGGTAAGATTTAGGTAAAACTGTACATATTTTTATAAAACAGTGAGCCCCCGTGACATTTACAAAACCCAGCGGCCTCTGCTCCGGTTATCGTAAAATGTGTACAATTTACGCCTACAAAAATATATTATGTAGTTTGTCGACAAGCAGCGAGAACAATGATACGCCAAAACGTGATATAAAATACGATTTGTTGACTGATTTTACGCGTTAAATTCATGCGTGGGCGTATAACAGGCGCGGTATCTTTTTCCGCTTTTTTTTTTTTTTCGGTCTACCGTCTTTCAAAACATACTATTCCACTACGGAGTTTTGATGGGGGGGGGGCAAACGACCCCGTTTTGTCACTTCCCCGGATCCGCCACTAGGCTGGCGTTGACTGCAGTACAATACGCCGTTGTTGAATTGTTTTGACATTTCGCCATGAAACGTGTCCGTCGTTTAAACTCGACTTTTTCGCGCCGTTAATATTTGCGTCGCATACACAATAAACGTCCACAGTAACCGCGTGTCGAATAATCGGAATATTTGGGTCTGTCCACGCCGCTTTTAGAAATCGAATGTGCGTTCAAATTTAATCGGTCGTACCGGCGTTCCCACGATTCGTTTAATTCCGTCAGGATTCCGGAGTTTAATTTAATAATAATAGTAATAATAAATTAATAATCTGTGTTTTGAGCGAGTTCTGTTGATGGTTTTTTGCATTTTAACTTTTAGTGTGTTCGAATTGGTTATTTGTTAACTTGTAGTTTTTATCCAAAGGCATTTATCGTACATAGTTTGTTTAACTTCACTTAATCAAGTGGTAAGTTAATTATTTCCGTAATCCCTCTCGTTATTACTAAATAAAAAAATAAAAAACGGCATAGAAATAATGCAATTGAACGCAATATTTTGAAAATACGATCATAATAAACTAACACGATGAATATTCATGTCTATTATTAAACGGATACGAATCGAAAATAAAAAATTAAACAAAAGTTCCGAAGCCGAGTTCGTATTATTGAGTACGGATACGATTCGAACTCTGTGTACAAAACAAATGTACGTTTCGAAATTAGCTGA